CACAAAGAATTGCATAGCACAAAAATGACGCTTCCATGGGCAAACATCCACACAGTACCCGAGTCAAGAACTGGACCCTCCCTCTCTTCCCCATGAGCGCGCCTCCTGCCCCCACAGAGATAACGCCGACTTTTTCATGGTAACAACGTTCTTGCATTTAAACAAGTTTTATCACCTAAATATGCATCCCCCTTAACGCTACAGTTTAGTTTCCCTGTTTTTCTGATTTCATAGAAATGGAAGCATATAAATAGGAAGTCTTTTGTACCTGACAGTGGTGTTTGTGAGATTCATACGTGTTACAAATAGTTGTCGTTCATTCACGTTCATTGTGGGACATTTTCCCTTTGTCTGAACACACTGTAATTTGTGTATTTATTCTATTATTAGTGGATGCATGGGCTGCGTCCGGGCTTTGGAGATTATGAACAGGCTGGTATCAACACTGGTGCACACACGCATGCATTTAGGCTGAGAGAAGCTCAGAGAACGTCTGTGTGGCTTCGGCTTAGTGGATACGATCAGGCTGAATTCCAGAGCAGTTGCACCATGTCACACTTTCACTAGCTCTGTGTGTGTGTGTTTCAACTGTTGCACGTCATAGTCAATACTTAGTCTTATTAATCTTTCTAATGTTAACTCTTCTGGTGGTTATCTAGTGGCATTTCATTGTGGTTTCAGTTTGCATTTCCCTAATGAGTGATGAGATTGAGCCCACGTTCATCTATTAGTTTAGAGGTTTTGGCCTCTCCTTCCTCATCTGACTCTCGCTGAACTTGCAGTCAAATGAAATAAAGTCTCTGACAGATGCTGTTGCTGAGTCATGTCTCCCTTATTGGCTCCAGTTGGATTCTGCACCCCCAGAGTGGGGCCAAACATTCTTCACAATGATGACAGCTAATGCTTATTGAGTGCCTACCGTGTTCCAGGCACTGAGCTTGATCTATGTAATGTCTCTTAATCCTCACAAATGGCTTATCAGGTTGATACTGTTATCATCTTCATTTTACTTAAGAAGAAACAAAGGTGGGGAGGCTCAGTAACTTACCTAAAGGTCTCACAACCAATAGGTGGAGCAACCTAGCTTCAGATCAATGCCCTTTGCAACGAAAACATAAGGCCTCCCAAAGATGGAAACATTGGACTACATTTAATTTTTTTTAATGGTTTAAAACTGAATAGTAAAATGAACATGTATGGAGAAAAATAGTCGCAAAGTACGACGAAGGATTAATGTGCTTGGTATGCAAAGGGTGTGTACGAATTAAGAAGAGGACAAGCACCTCAATAAAGAAATGGTCAAAGGCTTCTGAGGCAAACCTGGGGATTTCTGCCCACTTTTTCATGTTCTTTCTCACCCTTACAATGGATAGGAACAAAATTTATGACTCTGAGAAGTTCTGCAATAAAACTCATTTTAACACAGAGTTTTCCAAACCTATAATAATTATAATTCTTTGGAACAGACTTGGAAGCACACTGAACTCTATAACAACCACGGTTTCCTCTGGTTTATAGTCTGACAAAACTTTCAACAAAGCAAAGAGGAAATGAGACTAGTTTTGTTCAGGGATTTTTCAACCTTGACACTACTGCCATTTTGGGCGCATGATTCTCTACTGTGGGGGACTGTCTTAGCCACTGGGGCATGTTAGGCCATGTGCTTGGCCTCTACCCTGCGGATGCCAGATGCCAGTAGGACCCCTCTTGCCCCTGACAACCAAAACTGCCTGCAGACATGGCCAAATGCCTCCTGGGAGGCAGCATCAGCCTCCCCTCATGAGAACCGTTGGTCTAGTCTGACAGATTTCTGAAGCGCTCACCTGTTCCCGGGATCACCTCCTACCTCGGTGCTCTCAGACTGCACAGGGCCTGATTTCTGTGCTTTGTGATACCTGCCATTCTCGTTCAATATGAGAGGGTTATTAGCCCATCTCTTTTCCTCAAGTCTTTGTTTGTTAGAATTCCTTTCATTTCCAGGCACACAGAATCACCCACAGATCCCCTGGCGTGAGCGTTTTTACCATCTTTCCATCCCCTAGGTGGGATTAAGCTCCTCCCTTCAATCTACATTAAAACCCTCTCCCTTCAATCCCCACATGCCCTGCACAACTTTCTACCAGGTCCCCAACACACTTTATACTTAGTTATTTATGTGGCTGTCTCCCCCATTTCCTTGAGAGCAGGGATTGGGTCCTATTCATCCTCTGATCGTGAGCACAGAGTTGGTACCGGTCGATATACATGGACAAAAGAGCACAATATAACTGAGGCAGGGGACGTCAGTGATTTCATCCACAGGGCCCAAGGTGCACTTGCAGGGACACTGTGTTCTTCGACAGCCTCTTTGTCACTTTCCTCCTAAGGATGTGCGCTCTGCCTGACTCCGGGCAGGCAGTATTCCCTCCGACAGAGGCTGGAAGTACCATAAAAGGTACCAATTTTGCTTCCCTCCCTCTCAGCCATGAACATGACATCATCTGCTCAGTCGGCATGTTCAGACCACTCTCGATAGTTTTCTCATTCCGAAGAGAAAGAGAAAAGCCCTTTTCCCTTGCTCTCAGCATTTTTGTAAACCTCCGTTTCTTCCGGTTGATGACATTTCCTGCCCTTGGAGATGTGTCCCCCTTTCTACGCTTTGGGAGTCCCTTTTGGACGCGGGTTTCTCAGACCTCCCCCAGGCCGCCCCCACCCCCAGCCCACCCCCAGCACTGTGTCAGTCTCTCTAAGCGTTTCCTTCTTTTAATTTCCTGTCTGGGATTATTTTACTCTTTAGAAACAGAATATAATTCTTGGGAACCCTCTCGCTTGACCAGAATTGTCCTACATGGGGGCAGTGGGTGGGAAGAAAGGGACAAGTCTGAGAAACATTCATAATGGGCAAGCGATAAAACTGGATGACCATTCGGACCCTGTGGAGGAGGAGAGGCGATGACTCCCAGATTTCTGCTCTAGATACAGTCCCAGGAGGAGGAGGAGGGAGACGAGGAGGGGGAGCAGGCTGTCGGGAAAGGCCATGGCATATACGGGCATGGTCTGGGATGTTTAGAGTCTGAGGTGTCCACGGGAGACGAGGTGGGGGATGTTGAGGAGGGAGCTGGACACCAGAGCCTGATGTTTTGGGTCGGAAACGACTGGGGCTGGCTGTTGGTGTGTGGGTGGCCGCCGAAGACCAGGGCGTAGACGAGCTCTCAGATAGCGTGTGCTGGCGGAACAGACAGTTCGAAACGCAGCAGGAAGAAGGGTCAATGGAGGGAACCGAAGGAGTGGTCAGAGAGAGAGGAGGGGAACTGGGAGAGAAGCATGAATTGGAGTTCACAGGAGAGCGTTTCGGGACAGAAGGGAAGGGACGGGAACAGCTTCAAACGCTATAGAGAGGCCGACTCAGAGGTGGGCTGGAGAGTGCCTGCTGGGTCAGGCGTTACTGGGGTCCACAGGGAGGGGAGCTTCCGTGGAACTGAGGGGTTGCGAGGAGAGGCCACGGGCGACAGACACAGGGATGTATGCACACAGAGGTTTGCTCGTCCATCCGCTCCATCGACAACCTAACGTGCACCCGGGGCCGTCACGGGACACGGTAGCGGGCAAACAGGAAAAACCCCACCGTCGCGGTGTGTACTTTTTAGGGAGATGTCATGTAGAGGGAGGATTTGTTTTAAAGAGGGTTATTAGAATGATCATCATTCCAGAGATGAGGAGGCCAGGAGGACTCAGATGGCAACTGGCTCACGTTCCTGCAAACGTCAGAGCCGGGGTCATGCCCTGGCCTGCCGGGCTCTTTCCATTCTTTGCTGCCTGAGGGGGAGGGAGGTGTAGGTGGGAAGCAATGACGCAGACGGGGTGCAGGTGGTGGGTGTACAAGGAGCAAGGTGCAGGATTATCTGTGGCTGGCGGTGGGGGGTCGCTTTCTCGGAGGGAGGTTTCTATCGGCTCCTTTATCTAGGACCTCGGTGCTGGGTGTTGTGCCTGGGCTCAGGTCCCTCCAGTGGGGAGGCCGGGCACGGAGAGCCATGTGTTCTCATGTGGACCTATTTGTGCCAGAAGTTAGAGAGGTGGCCTGTGGCAACCCCACCCCCTACTCCCCCTCACTCAGGAGCAAATCTCCATTTCCTGTGGAGACCCCGATCCACATGGTTTGAGTGGGACCCAAGACATCTCCATATCCACTTGTCAGGGGTGGCACAGGAACCCAAGCAATGTCCCTCCACGAGGTCAGATATAGAGATGCTGGCAAGAGGCAGGGCCTTCCTCTCCTGCAGTGATCTTGGGGACCAGGGTGGGCCACCCATAGCCACGCTGACTATGGGAAGAAAACACCAAGGAGAGGTGAACAGAGTCAAGAGACAGAGGAGACTGAGTTTGACAATCTCATTTGAGCTCCTGGATCCAACTCTGTCCTAACCTACCAAGAACTATTCCAGATGCCCTGATGGCTTGAACCAGTGAATTCCCGCCCACTCCCCCAACCCCGCCCCACCACCAATTTGAGTTCAGTTTCTGTATGTGCAACTGAGAGAGAATCTGACCAATATGTCAGCTGTGACTGTGTAAAACAATTGATTTACTTTTGCAGAAGCTAACTGACCGCAGGGACCGTCCCCCACAGAGCCAGGTGTATTTGCCACCTTCTAGGTGTTGGCCCTGCAGGTGATAAAGGTATGAGCTACAGCATAGCCACGGAGATGAAGGCAGGTACAAAAGAATTGCCATTTACAAAATGCTTTAGATTCATTGCCCTGAAGCCTCAGTCATAGGAAACAATGAGCCAGCAACTACAGCTTGGCTTGGGCAAGTCCGGACTGAGCCGGAGAGAGGTTTCCATGCTCCAGGAGCTCAGCGGAAGGTAGGCTGGGAAGGAGAGGGAGTGTATTCTGGGCTTCTCTAAAACTGTCCTGGGCAGGGGGGCTAAGGTCAGGGTGGTGGGAGACACAGAGAGAGGGGAACAGATCATCCGGGGAAGCGGTATGAGTATTTATGAGGGTAAGAGCTGCTTCTCATACCTTTCCCATTCCGGCGTGGGCGTGTCCCAGCTTGACCACCACAGGGAAGCGAGGTGCTGTGAGCTGCAAGAGATAAGAGGAAGTCACTCATTGTCATCCCGGAGCACGTCCACCAAGGCTCTGGGCCCTGCCTGTTCTGCAGAAAGACTTAGTCATCTGACATAACCAGAAATCCCTGCAAAAACGCTTTGACAGATGGCCACCCTACTGCGGCTCAAACACCCTCGATGCCAACACTCTTGGCTCCCAAAGAAAGCTCCAGCCCTTCAAACCAGTCTGCCTGGGGCATCCACCAATCTGGAGAGATGGCGGAGGGGAGCAAACGGACCATGGGTTCACCTTTTGGCTTGTGTGACCTCTGAAGCTACTACACGGATCTGTGCCTCAGTTTCTGCATCTGTACAATGGGGCTGATGAGTGTCCATCCCAGAGGGATGCTGCGAGAATTAAATAAGTTACTGCATGTGAAGTGCTTACGTTGCAGGTACTCAGTGAAAGGCAGCTTCTTGATTCCTGTTACAGGTCTGCCTCATGTTATTTCCCCAACAACTTTCAGATATCTGGGAATTCTCATTCTCTCCCCTGAGCACTCTCCAGGCGGCCCCATGAGGCTTCTCAATCACAGGGGCCACGCCCAACACGGGCACAAGCATCCCTCGGTCTCACCATGGAGGGCACTGTGCTGAGTCACTGCCCTGTGTGATCTCCTTTAGAGTCACGCTTGGGAGGGCAGCAGCCTGGCCTGGCTGGTTCTCTGTCGCATCCCCAGCTTTCAGAGCACCGCCTGGCCCAGGATGGGCGTTTGACACGGAATCTGTGCTTTGGTCAGACCTCTGAGCAAGACGTCCAAGGCGTGCACGTCTCTTTTGATGACACAGAGAAGGCAAGTGGGGCTCAAAGATCAGGTGCCTGCCCACACCCACGGTCACTCCACTAGGAAGTGAGGGCACCAGTTCAGACCTGGGCTCTGTGCTTCCTCCTTCATGCTGCTCATCTGTCGTCTGAGATGTGTTTGCTTGGTGTCTAGAGGTATATCTGCAGTTGCTTGAGGGCATAGGTTACCCATTTCGGTTACTCAGTAACACTATCACTCCCCCAGCTTTGATCAGTCCTGGCTGGAATAATCCTGTCCTGCTCTCTAGGCTGCGCAGTTGTCTGTTGTGGTCACTCTGTCCTAGTCGTCCCCTGGCAGTGCTGTCCGTACGGACCCTCTGGCTTCCCAGCACCTAGTCTGACATGGAGAAGCTGCTGCACATGCTAAAGAAGGGTCTGCAAAGGGTCACAAGCCAGCTGATGGACCTTGTCTCATTTTGCCCCTGCACTGGCCCCCTGAGGCAGGCAGGAGAGTTATTTTAAAATTAAATATGTTGGGGTGACATTGGGTAATGAGATTACATAGGCTTCAAGTATCCAATACTATAACACATCATCTGTATATTGTGATGTGTGCTCATGACCCAAAATCTAGTCTCCTAGGGGAGGTAGTTCTATCGTCACTTCACAGACATGACAATGGAGACTGAAGGCAGCTGCTGGGGAGGGGTGAAGCTGGGGCTTAAACTCGGGTCTGTCAGGTTCTAAGCCCGGTGTGAACGGTTTTCTCTTACGTCTAGCATTGTCCTGCAGTAGCTGCTGGGTGAAAACATGTCCCTCTTATCCAGGCTAAAATTGACCATATCCTGGTGTCTACAGTAAACAAGCACATTAAAAAAAAAAGGGCAATATTTGACCTTGATTCCACAAGCAATATGTACACACTATAAAAAGTTTGGAAAATACCAGCCAAGATGGAGGCGTAGGTAGATACACTCTGCCTCCTCGCACAACCAAAAGAAGGACAGCAGTAAATTTAAAAACAAAAAGTAACCAGAACTACCAGAAAATAGAGCTGTGTGGAAGTCCGACAACAAAGATGTTAAAGAAGGAACATTCATCCAGACTGGTAGGGGGGTGGAGATGGGGAGCCAGGGTGGAGAGGACTCGCAGCAAGGCTGGAGGACTGGGTGGGCAAGGTGGCAGCTGGCAGAGTGGGCAGTCCCACATTTGCCTGCAGATAAACCAGGAGGCACAACTAGGGAGCAAGACAGAGTGTGCAACCCAGGGTTCCAGCACAGAGAAATAAAGCCTCAAAACCTCTGACTGAAAAAACCTGTGGGGGTTGAGGCAGCAGAAGAAAGTCGTAGCCTCACCGGAGAGTTCATTGGAGAGACCCACAGGGTTCTAGAATGTACACAAAACCACCCACCTGGGGATCAGCACCAGAAGGGCCCAATTTGCTTGTGGGTAGCAGAGGAAGTGACTGAAAACCGACGATAGTCGAGCAAGCAGCATTGTTCTCTCTCAGACCCCTCCCCTACATACAGCACCACAAAGCAGCAATGTGGGTTTCCCCGCCCTGGCAAATACCTAAGGCTCTGCCCCTTACTATGCAACAGGTGCACAGAGACAAAAAAAATATGGTTCAAATGAAAGAACGGATGAAAGTTCCAGAAAAAATACATCAAAGTGATGAAGAGATAGCCAACCTATCAGATGCAGAGTTCAAAACACTGGTAATTAGGATACTCACAGAAATGGCTGAGTATGGTCACAAAACAGAGGAAAAAATGAAGGCTATAAAAAGCGAAATAAAGGAAAATGAACAGGGAACCAACAGTAAAGAGAAGGAAACCAGGACTCAAATCAATGGTTTGGAGCAGAAGGAAGAAATAAATGTTCAACCAGAACAAAATGAAGAAACAAGAATTAAAAAAAAAAATCAGGAGAGGCTTAGGAACCTCGGGGACAACTGTAAACACTTCAACATCTGAATCATAGGAGTACCAGAAGGAGAAGAGGAAGAGCAGGAAATTGAAAACTTATTTGAAAACATAATGAAGGAGAACTTTCCTAATCTGTCAAAGGAAATAGACTTTTAGGAAGTCTAGGGAACCCAGAGAGTCTCCCAAAAGTTGGACCCAAGGCAGCACACACTGAGGCACATCATAATTACATTATCAGAGATGAAAGATAAAGAGAGAACCTTAAAAGTAGCAAGAGTAAAGGAGACAGTTACCTAAAAGGAGTTCCCATAAGACTATCAGCTGATTTCTCAAAAGAAATCAGTTGACAAGAAGGGGTTGGGAAGAAGTATTCAAAGTCATGAAAAGCAAAGACCTACATCCAAGATTGCTCTATCCAGCAAAGCTACCATTTAGAATGGAAGGGCAGATAAAGTGCTCCCCAGATAGGGTCAAGTTAAAGGAGTTCATCATCACCAAGTCCTTATTCTATGAAATGTTAAAGAGACTTATCTAAGAAAAAGGAGATCAAAAACATGAACAGTAAAATGATAACAAACTCACAACTATCAACAACTGAACCTGAAAAAACAAAAAACAAACTAAGCAAATAACTAGAATAGGAACAGATTCACAGAAATGGAGACCACATGGAGGGTTATCAGTGGGGAGGGGGCGGGAGGAGAATGGGGGAAAAGGTACCAGGAATAAGAAGCGTAATTGGTAGGTACAAAATAGACTGCTGGAGGTTACGAATAGTATAGGCAATGGAGAAGCCAAAGACCATATAACCCACAGACATGAACTAAGGGGCGGGGGGAGGAGGGTGCTGGAGGGAGGGGGGGTGCAGGGTAGAGGGGGATAAAGGGAAGAAAAAAATGGGACAATTATAATAGCATAATCAATAGAATATACTATAAAAACCTAAAAAAATTGTCTGGAAAATAAAATAAGGTGCTATGTAGTTATATATAAGGAAGACAAAACCACCCTCGGATTTTCATAGTTTTGTTGTACTATCTGCTGGTCTTTTTTTTAAAATCTATATTTATGTTTTGATTTATTCTGTACAGCTTTTGGGAGGTATGTCATGTTTGTGAGATTCATGTATGTTGCTATAAGTAGCTCTGATTCATTTTTAACTGCAGCATAGTATTTCATGTTATGAACACATTACACGTTTCCTGCTGACGAACATTTAGGCAATTTTTATTTGTCTAATTATAAACAATACTAGTGTAAACACTCTTAAACATGCTCCCCTATGCCCACATAGGGGAATTGCTCTAGGGCACGTACTCCAGAGCAGAATTGCTGGGTCGGACAATACTCATCTCAGTTTTGCTAGGTATTGCCAAATTGCTCTCCAAAGTGCTCGTACCAGCTTCTGCTTCTCATGAGCAGAGAAAGAGCTCCCAACACTTGAGTTGAAAGACTTATATTTCATCAACCCAAGGGATGTGAAGTGGAATGAATGAGTGCCTTTTCACTAAGCAGCCAGGTGAGGGGAAACAAGTGTTTCCTCTCTTCTCCCAGCAAGGAAATGGGGGTGTCGGACCTCCAGCTGCAAAGGAGCTGAATTCTGTTAATAAAGAGATTGAGCTTGGGGGAGAATCTCAAGCTCCAGAGGAGGACGCAGGGTGCTGGCACCTCGAGTTTGGCTTTACGAGACCCTAAGTGGAGAACCTCGCCATGCTATCCTGGACTTCAGATCTACAAAACTGCAAGATAATAAGGGGGTGCTAAATCTGCTAAATTTGTTAGAGCAGCCCCAGGAAACTAAGACATATGTCCTCCTAGAGACCGTAGCCCAGAGAGTGAAGTGGTCGTTTTCCTGCCACACAACAGCAGAACCCGAGGTCAAAGTCATGTGCTCTGACTCTCAACCAGGCACGCTCTCTCTACCAAGGCACACCTCCCTGGGGACCATGTGAGCCTCTGGGCACAACAAATGCTTTCCCCTCATCATAATGATGAATAAAATATCAAATCAATTCAGGAGGTGCTCATGGAGTGAGGCCTACATGGCTGGCTCTGTGCTTTGTGCTGTGCAGGGCACACGGAAGATTGAGACAAGATAGCCTGTCTTTTTTTTTTTTTTTTTTTTTTAAGATTTCATTGATCTATTTTTACAGAGAGGGGAAGGAAAGGAGAAAGAGAGGGAGAGAAACATTGATGTGTGGTTGCTTCTTGCATGCCCCATGCTGGGGACCTGGCCCACAACTCAGGCATGTGCCCTGATTGGGAATCGAACACGCAACCCTTCGGTTCACAGTCCGGCGC